CTAAGAGCTTGTTTCTAACAGTATCAGATAGTTTAATAAAAGCTATTACCTCTTCCTATAAACCTTGCCTCTCATCTATCTTTAGGCCATCACTGCCACAGTATGCCTTCTTCTCCTCTTCTATTCCATCACAGTAAATCATGTAAATAAAGAAGTTCCTCTGTGCTTCATCCAGTAACAGCCTAACTGTACACCGTGCTGCTAACCCTTATGAAAGCAATCAATACTGCCTTGGGAATTTGCCACTGTTTCATTTCCAACAGCTTAATGTGAACTGTGCAATCAAATGCACCCCCACAAATATCCTTTGAGGTCCTGTCATTAAACAGCAAAGTAAGATAGCGTATTTTCTGGCAGGTTCTATTTCTATCAGGATGGCTGCTCCCTGTACACAAGTATTGAGGTGACAAACACCTTGTAAAAGCCTGAAGCAGTTTAGCTGGATTAAATACTCAAAGGAGTATTTAATATTTTATTACTGTAGGGTTTTATTTCACTGAACTCAAGTTCATTCGTAGTGTTCAGGACACAGGCTTCCTCAGACATGGAATATCATAAAGAGTTCAGCAGTTTTGTCAGGCTGTGGATTTCAGGCATGCTGAGGAAAATGATGGAAAGTAAATATTAGTTCTTTTCAATTCAGCTGTCAGTCATGGGTTGCTCAAAGCTAGAATTAGAGGTCAATGCCCAAGTACAGTGCCTGTTATGTGTCTGGGGGAAGTCCCTCTCTAAGCTAGACTGAACAGATGTTCCTCTCACTCCAAAATGTGCCACGCTTGAAGAGAGCAGGGAGGAGATGTGCCCTCATCTTTTAACTTATGCGCAGGCAACAATATCAAATTAGCACAAAGAGAGAGGCTTTTGTTGGCTTTGGTCCATTTTTCTCCTTAATTAAAATAGAAACAAAGTAACCTTTTACTTCACCAGTAGGTCCAAAATGCAGTAGTCAATCAAAATATGATAGAAAGTATTGGAACCATTAACTTGACTATGATTTCATTGACGAGCCGTTGTAAATAGTTAAAGAGGTTAACCCAGCATGAAAGGAGTGGAATGGTGGAAGCCTCAGGCAAGGAGGAACTGATGCCATTCACATGTGTTTTCAAAACAAATGATCTGCAGACCATCTCAGCCCTATTTGCTGTAAGCTTAAAACTACTTTTACATGTAGAGGATGATATAGGTCTCATGGCAGCACCTCTGCCCAAGGAGACAGGATGCAGAGTGACTGCAGGGCAGTAGCCTGCTGGACTCCCCATTGCCAGACTCTGCAGGTGCTTAAGCAGCTTTCAAACTTACTGGATATCTGCAGCCTTGGGAAGTTAAGACACTTCACTGTAACTCTAAGTGATCACTAATCTAAAGTGTGGTTTTGATAAATCTGCATATTTGCCTGTTCAAAAAATGTTACTGAACCTTACATTTAGCTCATTAGCTTGTAGCGTAATGAAACTATTCTTGATGAGAGCTCATAATGAACTGTGTACATGATAGTTGTGCGTTTGTACAGCTGTAGATTACAACAAGAATGCAACAAGATTAAAGTCTCTTTGTGTATATATATATAGGTGCATGTGTATGCATGAGGACTCTGAAAGTCAGTGTACTTATATACAAAGAGGAATGACACCCGCTTTCTGGGAGTCAATTAAATGTTTTCATTATTGATGTTTACAATTAATTAATCATTGGGGATCATTGACAGATTTCGTTAATCATGTGGACCGGAGTTGCTCTACTTCCTCCTTTTCAAGGGGCACCAGCATTTTAAAAGCTAGGGAGGGCCCAAAAGATATTGTCTGAGGAAAAGATTGAAATGAAGATCCTGATTTTACAGGAAGAGAAAATGCAAATGTGAACACAAATGTATGGAGACATTAGGCATAAAGGGTACATGCTTCCTCAGTTGCCTATTTTCCTCTTTGGAGGCAAATTTTAGGGTGGACACGTTTGCGTAAGAACTTGTATTCCTGTCTTGAGGCAGGTAAGCATCCTAATAGCATAATGTATGGATGATACAAAAAATGAGGAGACTTCTAAAGTCTAGTCAGGTGTAATTGGAGTTTTCCTTTTATTTCTTCTCACCTGACACCAAAGCCATTGTATCTGGTATGCCCACCATGTAAGCATGTATTTAATTTTTCCTTTAAGAGCTGCCTACTGTTCAGAGTGATTTTGAAGTAACTCAGTCGACTAAGCACTTCTTTCTGAGAGGTGAGGTGAGCCTTTAAATGGAGGTACAGTTCTCTAAGGTAGACGAGGGTGTAAGAGCTTCTTCAAAGCTGATTCAAGCTGAGGACTTTTCTGCAAAAGATAGTTCTTCCAGCAATTAGCAAAGCCAGGGACTTACTGGCATTTAAGAGGCTGATGAGATTTTCTGGGCCTCATGAGTTTCCAAGGTATTGGTAGGGTTTCTTGATTTTTTAAATAAACCTATGTCCTGTAACTCGTTTGTATCTCTGAAATTTATGTTTAGGTTTCAAATCTGCCATTTACTAGTTTTCTTTTCCTGCTTCCTTCTCCTCAGTCTTCAATAACAAGAACATCCTGCCACTGGACCATACGTGCCACAGTGTAGCCTGGGTGTTCCTCTCTAATGCCTACATGTACATTGGATGTCACTCACCATAGGTACTACTTCAGATTAAAGATCAAAAAATCACTCAACCATTTAACGCTCTCTGGAAATATTATTACACAACCAGCATATGACGCATTTTAATAGTACTTCTGTGAGCAGTTTATCTTCTATAAAAACCATGCCCTGACTATCACAAAGTGTAATTTTATGCATGACCTCAATGGCTGAACCTCCAAGAGTCCTGTAAGAACAGAATTATTTCAGAGCAATCCTGCTAGATAAGGCAGTCAGATAAATAGGTTCAGGGTATTAGGCGTGATCTGTTCTCCAGCTGTGTGTACCTTCAAGAGCTGGCTGCCTGAAAATGTTGCACAGATCTTTTCTGTTGAAAAAACAACATTCAAATGCTAGTTTTGAGAGGGCTTTTCCATAATAAGTTGATTTCTTTTTTCAAGTTAAAATAACAAATAAAAAAACAGTTTTGAAGGTTCAGAGGTAAAAAAGCCCGATAGGATAAATGGAGACTGTACTCAGGTTAAATAGCGCAGGTCTTGTATGCAGTCTTCTTCTAAGGGAGCAGTCTCCTGCCACAGAAAGGAGTTTCTTTCAGACAGGTAACCATCTGTGAGTTCTGATTTCATCTCTATCACCTCCTTCTTCATGGTATCAAGCAAGTGTCTTCACTTTTCTACATCATGGGATTCTTTTTATATCTGCAGAAGAGTGATGCAATATTCATCTCCCTATAAGAACAAATCTGATAATGTATTTAGTTTCTAAAGGTCACATTTTACATTTTAGCTGAAGACAGTTTTATTCTCCAGATTCCTGCTAGAAGACTTGAAGGCAGAAATGACTTGCCCAGATGCCTTGGGAGTATTTTCCACATGTACATGTTACATTATACCATATAACTTGCATTATCAGGCACTCCTTCCTTATAGTTAGGAACTGCAGGAAGGAGAAGATTTTGTGGGCTGTGGGTGGTTTAGATGGGCAATTCATTTTTCATAGGCTTTAGCTTTTGCTTTGAATATGTTGTGTAGCTACCTAAGGCTGTAACTAAATTAATACCATCAAAAGAAATGTCTGATATTTCCAAACACACAGAGCCCACAACACTACAACCCACAAGCAATCGAAGAATATGTCTTTCTTTGACAGCGCTTCTACAGGTCTTTGTGGCATTTAGGGGTCAAAGCTTTTTTATTTTACTAGCCCCATTGGTTCAAAGAGCTGGAGTAACCAGAAATACATCCATTTCAACAACACCCAGGAGTTGTCATCATACACTAATGTCTCAAAGTAGAGAGAAGGAAGTACAAAAGCCATAATGCAGCAGTTTTTCCTAACTTGCCCAAGGCAAACCAGTCTTTGGCGTGCATTTTTGTCCAGGCTTGTAGCAATTTGTGCAGTCTGAGAGACATGCCTGTGGAAGGGATCCCTGACTTCTTTCAAGCTCCATTGTACGCTGAAAGAAAAACTCATCCTTTTCATATTAGACAATTGCCCCCAACCCTTCCTAATGTTACTTGGAGAAGACTATTAGTATGGAACGTAATGAGAACACTATCCTTCTAATTGGGAGAGAGCCTCATAGAGGATTATTTCCTAACAGAAATCTTACTTGTGGATGCAAAAGCAGAAGCTGTGAAACTCTGCCAACTATTTTCTTTGTCGTCCTTGTGAATTATGCAGCTGGTAAAGCTTTGATGTTGATTGGAATACTTGACTTTCCTGTACCTGCCTAATATCATGATTATACTTTTGTATTTGATCAAAATGAGGAATCTACATTAAAGAGCAACACCAAGTACCTCCTAGCTTGATTTAAAAAAAAAAACCCAGATGTTTTTGCAGGGCTGTAGCACTTAGAAAGTAAGTCCCACTCCAAGTTCAAGTTTAGCTTTTGTCATAAGAACAACTGCAATGTCCTATTTTACATAATATTGTAACAGATGGAAGTTCAGACTTTCTGTACTAAATTTCAACATAGCTGCAAATTCGCAGTTAAGAAATTATTAGCCCTGCAATTAGGTACCTTTAGTTGAATCTCTGACACTTACTTAATTATAGCAGCACTACAGACACACTATGAGAAGCAGTAAAATCAACTATGACACACCCCTCCTAATTTCCCATTGGATGGAAACTTGTTAGGCTTGATGGGTAGGCACTGTAGTCAGAAGGGATTTAAAAGCAAATAAATATTGGGTACTTCTAGCCAGTCAGAAATGGATTTCCACCTGTCTGAACCTCAGACTGAAGCAAGCTGCTTTTAAAGAACCCTAAGATCCTGCCGTATGAGGAAACCACTGGAGAAAATATTCCCTTCCATACTTCATATTTCTTCTATAAAAAAGTGACTTTGGAAGACCTTCTAGGCCACCTTGCTTGAGGTGTCTTTTTCAGAAGAAGCATGGCTTACTTTATGTTACAAATCACTGGTCTAATACTTGGAGGTATCGGCATGGTTGGGACTTTGGCAGCCACATTTATGCCGCAGTGGAGAGTTTCTGCCCACATTGATGCAAATATTGTGGTGTTTGAGACCATCTGGGAAGGACTGTGGATGGACTGTGTCAGTCAGCTGGGCATCAGGCTGCAGTGCAAATTCTATGACTCTATCCTGGCTCTTCCCCCACCCTTGGAGGCATTCAGAGCCCTCATGTGCACTGCAGCCGTCCTGTCAATTATTTCCTTTTTGTTGGCCATTGTTGGTGTGAAGTACACTCGCAGGAACAAGCACATCAGTATCTTCATATTGGCAGCTGGACTTTCCTTCCTACTGACAGGTATCCTTGTTCTGATCCCCGTGTCCTGGAGTGGAAGTAACATCATTCGTGACTTCTATGATCCAAAAGTTCCTACACCACTGAAACGAGAGCTAGGAGCTGCTCTATATGTGGGATGGGTGAGCAGTGCACTTCTCATCATTGCAGGAGCAATGTACTCTATCTTCTGGTGCTGGGCTGATACATCCTTAAAATCCAAGTATCCATTGCTTTCCTGTCACAGACTGCACAAACCTAACGTTGCAGGAGGGACATGCACAAGCGTGCATGCCTATGTATAGTTGCTACATGTGATCTTTCTGCTTAGTATGTCTATTATGTACTGATTGACTTCAGTGTCTAATTAAACTGTGAACTGTAATGGAGGGGCAATTTTGTTCATTTGCTGTTTACTATTGCCATACATATCTGCTCTCTGCCATGAATACAGGACGTGTTATTACATGACCATTATGTTAGAGCACAGTCAGAGGAAAAATCTCACTATTTTATGGGAATAAAGAATGCCATGGGAACAGCAGCAGCCAGGAGTCTCTCAGACAAGACAAACAACATATGGTTGGACTGGAAGGCAGACAGCTGCTGTGCAATAGCACCATTGCCCTCGCCTAAACTCATGATGTGTAAAGAGAGCAGTGCATTCTACTCTGAGGTAAAGTCTTCATAAGGACTGCTTTAGGACAGTGGTAAGCAGAATGGAGTTGGCAGCATGGCTGAAACAGCTGCCGAATGAATGGAGAAGCTGCCAGCGATCTAACTTCCAATATCGGCACACAAATGATCATGCTTTCCCATGAGAGGCCTCTGTGATTGGCTATGGATTTCATTGATGCTTTTGGAGTTGATGTATCCTTGTTATCTCTTCTTCACGGCACAGAATCTAGCTCATGAAATAATAAAGTTTTTAATCATTTTGCCAGATTTTGCTATGAATGTGTTATCTTTCTGCTGCTTGCTCTGTCTCATTTTTATGGCTTCTCCTGTTCTATAGGTAGCATCTACTCTTCTATAAAATTCAGGATAGACCATCTGTCTTTATGCACTTTAAAGCACTGTGCTAATGTAAAGCATAATTAAACAAGCGAGGCAATGTGAATGTGTAATCCCCACTTGCCCGTTGGAGGAACAAGTGTTCCTGCCTATATCTTCCATCACACCCACAAAAGCCAAGCCCTGATGATGTTCTGGCTGCTTTGTGTTCACAAGACTTATTTGAACATGTAGACTGAGCAGCCTGATGCCTGTCTATCCACTGTGCAGAATCCAGTAGTATTTGCAGCCATGCATTTATTTTTCACAGCTGAAAACTTGGACCTGCTTTTAACAGTGTGCATGTCACAACATTGATAAGTGACCAAAAAGGGCTAATTCAGAACATTTTTTCTGGTTCTTTACACAGTACTAATGTATCGTTTCATTGATAATTTCATGACATAGATATTCAGTTTGATTCTTTTCTGTGTCTGTGACTTGTATCTGTTAAAAAAAGGGTGTAATGACTTGTTGAATAGAGCCTCTGTATGTTCATTTGACTGTTCAATTGCAAGCAGAACATGGAAAGGTGCATTTAGTTAGATAAACCTTTTATTAACCTGACTTCAGATGAATCTAAATGAAACAGTGCCATTGAACACAGATACCCATTACATATATTAACTAATGTGCCTTTACATCTAAGACAACAAGCTTAGATATTTTAGTGGGAATTTTCTAGTCACCATAAAACAGGTTTGATGTATTCTGCTCATCACTTAAGCAGTCAAATCTGCACTTACTAATTCCAGGTAAGCCTTTAAGAGAACATTTTAAAGTAGGATTTCTAGTACTAAAACATATATTTTTTAAGTAAGTCTGTCACAGCAGCTGTCATTGGGTTGGACAGCTCACTTCAGAGGAGTCACTCTGTTGACTTTGGCAATAATTTATACTACCCTGAGGACCTCCTCCTATTATTTTATTGTATTAATGTCCTATAATACATATTTTGTTTAATAAGAAATTATTTGGTAAGTAAGTCAGAATTGCACTTTTTGGATTCATTTAGCTATGACATTTGTGATTAACAAAGCAGACAATGAAGACATTTGCAATGCAAACTTGATACATATTTATATATAGGTAATGGATTTAAATGCTGACATATTCAGTGTAATGCAACTTTATGCAGATATAAGTGCTTAAGAAGTAATTAAGTACAGTTTTCTATAAAAATAATTAAAGGATCCAGAATGCCTTCACTATCAATGGGTTCATCTAGAAATCAAATTTGAACTAGGTGTGTCCTTTTTACACTAGTAACTTTATTTTCAAAGAGTTGGAAGATAAAGCTGCTTTATTTGAGCATTTAACATGAATTTCAAAGAAAACTTAAGCTTTTTACATCTAACATGAACATCTGATGGCTGCATATTCTTCCATTTCTCTCTTCAACAGTTGATCAAAGGATGAGTTCAAACAAAATCTCTAAGCTCAGCCACCCTTGTGCTTGCATGGGGGTTTGGAAGCTGTCTGTGATTCCAAACACAAAGAATCATAGAATCATAGAATGGTTTGGGTTGGAAGGGACCTTCAAAGGTTTAGCCCAACCCCTCTGCAATGAGCAGGGACATCATCTAGATCAGGGTGCTCAGAACCACATCCAGCCTGGCCTTGAATGTCTCCAGGGATGGTGCATCCACCACCTCTCTGGGCAACCCATTCCAGTATTTTACCACTCTCACTGTAAAAAATTTCTTTCTCCTGTTCAGCCTGAATCTCTGCTCTTTCAGATTAAAACCATCACCCCTTATCCTACCGCAACAGGCCCTGGTGAAAAGTCTCTCTCCATCTTTCTTATATGCCCCTTTTAAATACTGAAATGCCACAATAAGGTCTTCCTGGAGTCTTCTCTTCTCCAGGCTGAACAATCCCAATTCTCTCAGCCTTTCCTCACAGGAGAGGTATAGCTAGGCTGAGCTGCTCTTGGGATGTCTGGGATTTTATTGGCACAAATGTCAATTTCTGGTGATGTAATTTAGCACTTCAGACTCACCCAAATATGTTTCAGTCTGTGACATTAAAATTTGTGAATCTAATGCAGAAACAGATTTCTCATAAGAAGATAATCTGCAAGACTGTGGTTAACCTTCTCCCTTTAAACAGCACAGAACAATTATTCCTTTATTGTGGATTCTGGTGGGGAAAACCCCACAAAGATGATTACTAGATATTTTACCTCTGTATGCGAGGAATGCATTTGGCTGAGTAAACTGTATGGGTGCATTTGTGTCTACTAAGGGAGACAAAGATTTTTCTTCTTCCTTTTCCCCTATTCAAAACCCGTGATGCTCAGAACTGACTAGTTGGAAACTGCAGTTTGGAAGTGTAAGTAAAAAAATAAAGTTTTAAGGACTTTAATGAAAAACTGCGGTTGAGCTTTGAAAATAAATTGCTGTTCATGACTTTTCTGTGGGTGACAGGAAGAGCTCATCTTTAGGCGAGTGATGGAGGAGCTTACACAGATCTCTACTGCCCAAGGCTGCACCTTCTACGCCCAGTCTGCTGCTGCAGGAGTCCCTGTCCCATCTGGATTATATGCACATAGACCTGTCTATGTCTAGGTCTCAGGTTACCCCAACTGTCTAAGGTGACTCTTGGAGCTTATTTAGTTGGTTTGACATGTCCTTCCTGAGTGAGACGGGTGAGGACAGGATGCTAAGAAACATGTGTAATGCAGCAAAGACATCTGGGGAAAGGAACACCTCTATGCACACTATGTGACGGATGACCAAGAGGAAGCAGGGTGTACATAATTGTTACTGACTATACTTTTCTCTCAGAAGGAAAGGCCTGGTGTGGGTGTCATCTGATGTGGGTGGGCCAGGGATTACTGAAACATTGTGTTGGGTTTTCCTGTGCTGGAACTCTGCTTTCATTGAGGAGTGGAGGCTGTAACCTTGCTTTAGTGATGGTATGTTCACATTCCTTGAGGCACAACTGCCAGGAAATTCAGTCCTGCTGTATTTGTTAACAACAACTGATTAAATATTGTGGTTAAATATCTAGTTTAATACTCTGATGTTATCATATACTTTAATATTTCGTGCTTGCAGGACAAAATTACTTTGGAAATAGATGTGAATAGCTGAGATTTTGCTATATATGTGAAATAAATGTTCAAACCCTTCAGTTTGTTTTGGTCTTTTTTTTAATGATTGTATCACTGTTTCTTTTTTATATTAAAGTGAATAAATGCATTTCCCCATTGCCAGGAAAAAACAGCTTCAGTATTTTTATAATGTCCTTTTCTGATTCAGTCTTGGTTTTTACATTATGCTTTGAGCTTTGCTAGATAATAAACAAAGTAGGTCTGATTCCTTGGGAAATAAAATACACAAAACTGATTCAGTGCTGACTTCCAAGATTTGCATATAAGAAGTTTCCTGAAGCAAATCAATATTTCAAAAGCTGGTCCCAAAATGTGTATTCATCTCTGAGATGAAAAGAAAAGATTCCAGAGCAAATGATCCACCACTAAGATGCAGCCAAGGGAATATATCGATGGCAAAAATAATAGCTTAGCAAAACATTTCATTATAACAATAAGAATAATCAGGCAGATTTTGAGACAAATAAATGAATCCAGTCATCAGTCTTGATACGCAGACACGAAGGTCTATGTGAGGGACATTAAGACTAAATGAGTTTATGTTAAAAAAGTTACAGGTTTTCTGCAAATCAGTGTGAGGGCTCATAAAGTCAGAAATGGGAGCTTGATTGTGTCCTTCTGACTGTAACCATCCTTCTGAAAAAGGCACCGGAGGTCTTTCCAGGGGAGTTCTATGTCATCTTTGAAAACTGGGGCAGAGTTGACCCACCAAATAAACTATTCCTTTCCTTTGTGTCTGGTATGGAAAAGCTCTCTGACTTATACAATTTGCTTTCCCAGTTGAGTCTCAGAGTCTGAGACTAACTTGACATTTTTTGATTGCTTTAGAAAACAAAGAGCAAAAGAAAACAAGAAATACCCTGATAAGGTATATTCAGCTGAAAAGGTCTGTGCCAGTACTTCTTGTGTTCAGTTGCCACTCACAGAAAATGTTCCAGCTGTCAGTGAGGACAAACAAAATATATTCAAAAGCACAAAGATTTTGCTTTTAGCAGCAAGGAACAGAACTGGCTAGGGAAAGGGTTGTGACAGCAGTATTAACAAGCTATGTACACCGGCAGTCTGCAATCAGAGTTTGTTCAGTTCCAGAGATCAGAATGGACTGAAACCACTGTGTCTTCAGTGACAATATAGCCAACTGCATAATTTTTTAAACAGTTAAAGGAAAAAGAAAAAACACTACATGGAACTCAGCTGTCTGTTCCAGAAGAAAAGCAGAAAAAAAAAGGTTACTTGAGATTCTCATCCCTACACTTCCAGCCCTTTAAAATGAACGAGTTAATTTTACCATTAAGCTTTTTATTCTTTTATCTAGTCATTTACTTGTGCCTCCACAAAGGCTTTTCACTTTAATGTGTCATCACCTCAATGGTGTGAAATTCTGAGGCATTATAGAACTTTACCATGTTTTTACTTTCTGTTACCAGCCAGTTCAGTGAGCCCAACAGCATGTGTGTGCTGGTGCAGAGACTCTGTATCAAAGCGACGTTGCTCTCCAAAGCACCTCCTTCATATGGGCCCTGCATACCAGGACAACTTTTGCTGGTAAGGTAAGTTTTAAGAAGTAGTGTAATTTTAATGAAGAATTCTGGATCTGTGTCTTACCCAGGAGAGCTCTCTGCTTGAGCTTTAATGATTGCTGCAGTGACAAGAGAAACAAAGCTAGAGAATGTGGTTGCAGCTGTCTGCTCTGAAGAGGGAATTGGCAGAATTACCCCAAGATGTTTGAACTAGTTATTGTTCATCCTAACACATGTACACTTCCCTTGCCCAAGTAATTTCCAGGCTAACCCTACCTGTGTACCTATCACTAGAGACCAATTTAGCATGCGGTTCCCCTCAGCATTCCTTTATTTTTTTAATTAAACATCACTCTTCATTTAAACAAACAGAAAGAGCTCAAAGCAATGTAACTGACAAATGCAACACCTTTGTGTAAAAAAATACTTCAAAAATAGAAACCACAAACCCATCAAGTTCTGTTCCCTGCACTAGCATCAGTCAAACTGAATAATACATTAGGCTTGCTAAATCTCTGCTGCCCACTTCTGCTATGGACCTTAATCTGTGGTCTTTGTCTCAGTAACTGAGAAGTAGTCCCTGACTGCCAAATAACAAAGATGATGAGTACATTAGTGTTTCAGCTTCTGTATGATGAACGGGTAACTGACAGAATGATAAGCAATGTCTATTCATTCAGAGTTTCCACTGTAATGCCAGATGGTGCTGGGAGATAGAAAATAATGTCTAGACCCCAACAAACACTGCCTTGCATACTGTCACATTCATTCTGAATTTAGCAAAAATTGGCAATATAAACTCCACATGTTGAAGACAAGTATATTGTTAACCAATTACTTTTTGCAAGGCCAAATTTCACAGGTTAGTCTGAGACCTGGTCTCTGACTGGCACTTCCAGGACACCAAGTACAAGCTCTTCTTACATCAACCTGGTGGATTCTGCAGCCATGCAAGGGAGAATATGGGGAAGACCAATGCTGGTGCTAGAGCTCCTGCCTCCAGCCGCAGAACTAAGGACACACAACTGCAGACTGCCTTTGCCAGGGTCTAAAGAAAGAGCATTCTCCTTCCCTCAGCTGAACCTGTCCTTGTGGCCTTGGTCAGCCTTGATTGGCTGCCAGATGGCTACCCAGATGCTCTGATACTCTCCCTCCTCACACACCTTCCATGCTCCAACATGGTTTCTTCAGAGGCTGCAAGCGATCCATGCTGGGATGCCTGGAGCACCTTCTTCTCTCCTTCTCCTCTTTCCTTGCTGCTCCTAGGGCTTTTTTTCACATATTTCCCCTCACCCCTCACTGCCAGGCAGCATTTGCCCTCTTTTACAATGACTTTCCCCAGGTGCCACCATCGTGTCTGCCAGGCTCAGCAATGCCCTGCAGTAGGTTTGTTGGGGACAAGGCTACATCCGGGTTATGTGGCAGCACCATGTCAGAATCAGCTTTAGGCACTGGCAGCCAGACCCTATGGGCAGTGGAAGAGGTTGCAGAGCCTCTTAGTGCACTGTCCTAACATTTCCTGTATATAACAGTCTAACCCATCATATTGTCCATCATATTTGAAAAATCATAGCAGTCAGGTGAAGTTCCTGACAACTGGAAGAAGGGAAATATAACCCCCATTTTCAAGAAGGGGAAGGTGGAAGACCCAGGGAACTACAGACCAGTCAGTCTCACCTCTGTGCCCGGCAAAATCTTGGAGCAGATTCTCCTGGAAAGAATGCTGAGGCACATGAAAAACAAGGTGGTTGGTGACAGCCAGCATGGTTTCACTAAGTGGAAATCCTGCCTGACCAATTTGGTGGCCTTCTATGATGGGGCTACAGAACTGATGGACAGGGGCAGAGCAGTTGATGTCATCTACCTGGACTTGTGCAAAGAGTTTGACACTGTCCCACACAACATCCTTGTCTCTAAATTGGAGAGACATCAATTCAATAGATGGACCACTCAGTGGATAAAGAACTGGCTGGATGGCTGCATGCAAAGAGTTGTGGTCAACAGCTCAATGTCCAGTTGGAAAGCAGTAATGAGTGGTGTCCCTCAGGGTTTGGTGCTGGGACCTGTGTTGTTCGACATCTTTGTCAGTGACATGGACAGTGGGATTGAGTGTGCCCTCAGGAAGTTTGCTGACATCAAGCTGTGTGGCTTAGATGATACGCTGGAGGGAAGGGATACCATCCAG